AAGATCATCAATTTTCTTTTGATGATCATCATTGACCTTTGAAAGTAAATTTTGCAAATCTAAAATTTTCTTTTCAAACTCTTCTAGTTTGATTTGCAAATCACTAATTTTACTTTCAAAATCATTGTTGGTCTTGGATATGAGCTTATTTTCATTTTCCAATTTTGAAACATCATTTTTATATTTTAAAAACAATTTCTCATAATTCGAAGTCAACCCATTATATTCCTCTAATAACTCGTCATAAGATAAATCATCTAATTCAAATGAGTTAGAGGTTACCTTAGAATCTTCCCCGAATGCCATCAAGCACAAGTTTACTACTTCTTGTTCCTCTTCATCGGAACCTTCTTCATCACTCCATGTAGCCACATGAGACTTGTGCTTATTCTTTGATTGACCCTTTCTCTTCAATTATGGGCAATCATATTTGACATGCCCCGGCTTTTTTCATACATAGCAAATGATAGGGTCCTTCTCTTTTGGTTCATTTTTTAGGCCATCACTTCGTTTGAATTTTCTTCCTCGGTAAGGTCTCATCATTTTTCTAAACCGTTTAGAAAAAAATGCCATTTTCTCGTCATCGTCATCTTCATCCGAATCACTCTCATCTTTTGTCGATTTGAGAGCAACTCTAATATTTTTATTCTTCTCCTTTTCCTTTGGTGTCTCGTCAATCTTATCGAGGTCCACCTCATCTTCAAGCATCATTTCATGAGTGAGGAAGGAACCGTATAGCTCTTCAATAGTTAAGGACTTTAGATTCTTAGCCTCGATGATTACAGTCTTCTTGGATTGCCACGATTTTGGAAGTGAGTAAACTAACTTCCTCACAAGCTTTTCATTGGGAATGATCTCTCCATATGATTTGAGACCATTAACAATCATTGAGAATCTATCCGTCATAGCTTTGATATCTTCATTTGGTTTCATCTTGAAATTTTCATAGCTATGTGTTAGAAGACTAATTTTAGATTCTTTTACCTCGTCGGTGCCTTCATGAATTACTTGTAGTTTATCCCATATTTCTTTGGCAGTTGTACAAGATGAAACTCTTCCATATTCATCTGGTCCAAGAGCACACAATATGATATGGATGGCTTTGTAGTTGAGCTGGAACATTCTTGTCTCTCCTTCACTCCACAATCTTGGATGAGTGAGAGGCCCTCAAATCGATGCGGGTAAACCGATCCGATCTGGAGTGTCACATTAGGGCCACCGGAGCGACCCACTGTAAAAATAGCGAAAAATTTAAAACTTTTGTCAAAACATGTAACTTATAAAATGATTTATCAATATGCAGAAATAAAACAGATGTTCAGACTCATATATAAAACAAATTACAATTACATGCCCCCTAATCACATGTACCCTTCTCTGCAAGCAACGCCTGAAGAACTCCCTTATTGATGTCGATAGGTGTACTGATATAATTCTTTAACCTGCAATGGTGAGCAATAGAGTGAGCTTCGAAAAGATCAGTAATATAGAACTATCAGGTGATGCTATATGACATGCAGATAAATGGAAAAACAAATGTTTTCCTTATTGAATCAGACATATACCAGTTTGCAAAATAATCTGGGGTTCCATTAATAGTTCACCGAGTAGAAGCCATGAAGATCACAGTTCATATGAAGCATTCATAGTATCACGTTTTCAGGAGATCGAATAGGATGTCTAGTGTGTTCCAACAGTACAATAAAATCATAATAGGTACACTAATCAAATGATAGTTCAATAAATATCATAAATCATACTGTAGTGGAGCTTTTTAAACTCGTAGTTTAAAACCATCGTATAAAGAGTTAACCTAAGGGAACATCTTAGGGCCTGAGAGCCTACCCAAGAAAGTTTCAGGGCCACGGGGCCTACCTAAGAACACATCTTAGGGCCACAGGGCCTACCTGATAATGATCTCAGGGCCGCAGAGCCTACCTAAGAGTCACATTAGGTCCATAAAACTTTTACAGCTTGATCAAAGATGTACTTTACAAATTAGTATCTCCAATATACAATTTATACCATGATACAATTCCATAATCCATCACCATTAAGTCGGTGTATCCGTAAAACAGTAACCATAGATTTTAGTGTACCTCATGTTAAAACAATAAAACAATTTATTAATAAACTTGGAACACACTAGAGAATCCAAATATTTTTCAGAGGTATTTTGAAGTTATCAGTATGGATAACATAAACTAGTGTAATTTGATCGGATTCCAGGAACAAAGTCCTATCGAAGAGAATCAATTACTAACTGATCTAATCAGCCTTTTAATGTTGATAGTTTAGAATTCCACTATGATTCATGTGTATCAGGAAAGTGTTCATGAACCTTTATACTTAATGAATTTTAGATTCAGATTTATGGAGAGTGATTCCATTACTCAACCAATCTGGGGTATCCAGAATCCATTGCATCTGAGTTACTTGTGCGAATTAGATATAACCAGAGTGTTTTGAGCTGATAAGGGAGAAAACGCAGATTCAGAACATATACCCATTATATTGATAAATTAGATTATCAAATAAATCGAGTTACATAACTCCTAGACTAACGCATGTCGACAAGTCCATTCAATGCCCTTCCAGAGTATTCACTCTTTAATACTAACAGTTCTTGTCCATAAATCATGTTCGTAATCGTTGATGAATAGATCTTCCAACGGTCTTTATTTCATTTCCACGTTTCAACAATATCAGGAAATACAGACGTACTTGATTCATGGTTCATGACTCGTAAAGACATTTCATCTTGTAAGTTCAACAGTGTTTCCAGACTCACCCAATCACTTATTTAATCCTCAATCGTTGAGGTTACTTAGTTCATTTAGCAATCAAATCTATCCCGATTACTTTAGAGTTTTCCAGAGTAATTCAGATGTTTTTGAATTTCATATACATATTGTACTACCTTTTAGTTCAATTTAGTAAATCTGATATTCGTGGTTGATTTGTCTCACGAATTTCCCTTTCTTAGCATCGAATGTGCTCTAGAGCTGAGTTGAGCCAATTACTTCCAGAATTATCATCGATCCATACTTGTGAATACTAACACGCATTCAAATGATATTTATGATATTCAGGTATTGACATAGTTTTAGGGTTTATCTACTCACTTAAATTATGTTCCATTACTTTTAAGGGTAATACAACACCTATGTTTATTTAAATTCCTTAATAAGCCCAAGACATTATATTGATAAATTAGATTATCAAATAAATTGAGTTACATAACTCCTAAACTAACGCATGTCGACAAGTCCATTCAATGCCCTTCCACAGTATTCATTCTTTAATACTAACAGTTATTGTCCATAAATCATCTTCGTAATCGTTGATGAATAGATCTTCCAACGGTCTTTATTTCATTTCCACGTTTCAACAATATCAAGAAATACAGACGTACTTGATTCATGGTTCATGACCCGTAAAGACATTTCATCTTGTAAGTTCAACAGTGTTTCCAGACTCACCCAATCACTTATTTAATCCTCAATCGTTGAGGTTACTTAGTTCATTTAGCAATCAAATCTATCCCGATTACTTTAGAGTTTTCCAGAGTAATTCAGATGTTTCTGAATTTCAGATACATATTGTACTACCTTTTAGTTCAATTTAGTCAATCTGATATTCGTGGTTGATTTGTCTCACGAATTTCCCTTTCTTAGCATCGAATGTGCTCTAGAGCTGAGCTGAGTCAATTACTTCCAAAATTATCATCGATCCATACTTGTGAATACTAACACGCATTCAAATGATATTTATGACATTCGGGTATTGATATAGCTTTAGGGTTTATCTACTCACTTAAATTGTGTTCCATTACTTTTAAGGGTAATACAACACCTATGTTTATTTAAATTCCTTAATAAGCCCAAGACATTTACTTAGTCTAGTCCATAAGGGCATTTTGGTCATTTTGGTGTTCAATGTTTTTCCATTCATTTTAAAGCTTAAGGATATACATTCATTCCTGGCTTGGTGATATTCTTGATTCATTTCCATTACAAGGGTATTTTGGTCATTTTACAGATCTAGGGTATTTCAATCATTTCCTTCAGTCCAGTCTTATTATTTAATCCAAACTTATCATTTACTTCAGTCATTTCAAACAATTCTGACAAAAGAGCAGCATCTATAAAATATTCGTCATGTACTTACTCAATTCGGTGATTTCCAGGTTGAATGTCTTCTCAAATGTTAGTAACTAATTATCACTAATTTTCCATACAAAAATAGGATCTTAACAATTAAATTTGTACTTAATCGAGTTAAGTACGAATCCTCAAAGTACTTTCTCATTCAGGATTAACTCGGACTATTTTATCTCTCAAGGGCATTTTCATAATTTCTTAACCAGATAATTTCGGTATTAACTCTTAACAAAAATAATTATAATATAGAGATCCTATGATTAATTTCTTTCTTGAACATTCTCTGATCTTAAAATGATTTCCTTAACAGACTTATAGTATCTTGCACAAACCCTCTTGGGGTTAAAAACTGATTATCAAAATTTTCTAAGCAAACTAGTATTCCTTATACACATCTGTAGTTTTATCAGATCAATAAGTCTTGTCAGAGCTATTAATCAACTTCCAGGGATAATTCTTATCATTTTACAATATAGGGTATTTTCGTAATTTTACATAATCGAAATATTCTCATAATTTATCATCTAAGTACCTTTAATGAGATAAATTATAATCTACATATCCATGGCTGATTCCCTTATCACTTAATTCCAGAACTTGAAATTTAATTCCAAATGTCCTCCAATTTCTTATAATAGTCATCTGAGCCATATTCAGTTACCTACTTTCTACTGCATTCGTATCGAGTGTAGAACTTCATTAATTACACATATGAGCCCAAACATTTCCATTCATGCATTTACCAATACCAACATGTTCTATAAAGCATAAAGAGGTAGTAAAGTATTACCTCGATTTTTGTGCCATACTGATCGACCATTTACATTCCATTCGAACACCCTCTATCTTTAAGTCAACTTCCAATAATTCCTCGGATACAAAGCAACCAAATTTACGTCAAAAACTGAACTTAATTGAGAAGCTAACTTGAATCCGAAGGTAAAATATGGAACACAACTTACCGGGTGCGAATTTGGCAAAACAAACTTCGGATTCGGACCCAGTACGTCGAAGAGAATCCAAAATATGCATTTTTCAGGTATAATCAAATACGCTGCCAGAACCTCATTTTTCTCGAATTTGAACTCATTATATTTGATTTCGAGCTTTCAATTTTTCTCTCACGTACCCAGACCATCAAATATACAAACTCGATTCCAGATAATTTTCTCGCCATAAAAATAATTTATTAGAATCTAAATAATAATTTGAAAACCCAATTTTCATAACTAAAAACTTGAAGAGCCAGTAATAATTAATTACTAACATCATGGGCTAAATTGATTTTATTTGAACCATTATGCTATAATCATAATAATACTGAAACTAAAAGACAAGGTTAAGTTTTTACCAAACTTGGATAACTCAGCTTGTTATTTACTCATTTTGCACTTTATCAATTATCCCCAACACCCACGTGATTTGTTATTTCTTCACTTCAATTTTTTTCTTCATGTTTTTCATTTCTTGTAGCCATCCTCACCAAAGCTCTGCAGATAACCAAAGAAGTTTCACCAGCCGGTAGTCAAACCCGATGACCAACACGTCGGGTCATCGTCTACTACCATCATTCGAAAACAAAATACACCATCGAAACCACCTTGTGCTAATATCATCAAACGAATTCTCAGCAGTGTAAAGCAAGCGAAAAGCGATATGAGGTCCAGTTGGGTACTGTTCGAGTTCCACCTTTGGGTTTGAGAATTTTTGAAGATCGCCCAAGAGGCTTTCTAGCTGATTGAGATTCATTTTTTTTTTTTGCTTTAGTAGAATCCCCTTTTTAACAAATAAAAGTAGAGACAAGAAAAATAATAGATCATTTATGGTGTTGCTTCTTTTCTCCTTTTGCCCAAGCAAATCCCTATGTTAGAGATATACTTGAATTCAAGAAACCATGACCCATCACGTTAGACAAAGAAATATTATAAAAAAACCCCAAAATATATTATAAATTTGTGATGCTAAACGTTTTGAATAAAAGAATTATTTATTTTCAATCATTTCCCCATCACTTCAAAATGTATTATTTTTATAAAAATAATATCAAATCAGTAGTAGTAATAGAAATACAGAAATTCTAGAATTATCTACCAATAATTTGATTGTATTCGAATATGAAATACACTAAATTTACAAAATAAAATATACATATTTATCCATATGATAAAACATTTCACTTTCTTAATTTATGTACTTAAAAATATTTAGTAATTCAAAAACGGACTTTTTAAAATATTCATTCGATAAAAAAATATACTATATAAAATTCTCAATACAAAGTAGTTTATAACTTATTCAGTATCATATTTAATATAGAAGAAATATAACCCCTAAATTGGGGTGTGACAGAGGCTTGATATATCCGTCTTCTACAACCTTCCATGCTTCCATGTCACTTTTTTGAATGAAATACATCATCATATTCTTCCAATAGGCATAATTAGCTCCATTGAAGAAAGAAGGCTTGTTGACGGGCATCGAATCGAGATCGAAGTCAAAGTTTGAAGCGCTGACCATTGATGACTTGAAAATCGATGTAACTCTTCTCGAATCGACTCAAGAGGCGATTAAACCTTCAAATGAGTAAGGCCCTGATACTAATTGTTGAGTTAATCGATCGATGGAGTTGGCCAAGAGGGGGTGAATTGGCAAATAAAAATTTTGGTGGAAGCTTTGCAAAAAATTGAAAAGATTTGCACAACGATTTAGAGTGGTTCGACTTTCTCAACCAAAGTTTACGTCCACTACCTTAGCTATCCACACTAAGGATTTTCCACAAATTCACTAATTTGTCTTTCTTTTGAGGACAAAGAGTAACCTTACAAATCCCTCAAGAATTATACCCCAAATTCTTGAGAACACTCTCTCCCAAAGAGAATAATACAAATTTGGAAACTTACAAGAAAATCCTAACAAAGCAAGATGTTTGCACAATTCTAGAACAAAGAAAGAACACTCAAGAATAATACAATTGAGCACAATAAGTATTCTTGAAAGCAAAAATGAATATTGAATGAAATAGGCTTGAAAATACTCAAACTTGAGGTTTGATGCTTTCTCTTTGATTCTCTCTTGATTCTTGTTGATTGTTGTTTCTTGTGTTTGATCAATGTCTTCTAAGCTTGTTTAAATACACCTTCAAATGATTCTGAATGTTCGGGATGATTAGTGGAGTCAATATAGCCATTTTAGTGTGAAATCAATTAATAAAACAGCTTGGAGCGTGGGGGTGGGGGAAATCGGTACCCCCTAATGGGGAATCAGTTCCCTAAGTGTAAAATTCAAAAATTTCGACCATTAAACAGGGGGAATCGGTTCCCTCCGAGCATTCTGTTTTTCTCAGAGCCAAACCATTCAGGGGGAATTGGTTCCCTCTGAGCAATCTGAAATTTTTGGCTTTGAAATGGTTCGAAATATTTTGTAAAATTGTTTTGAAAATATACCCATTGTCAGTCAAGACGTGTTTCTATAGATTTCCCTCATAAAATATCATTTTCTTGTATTTTAATAAATTATATATATTTAATATATTTAAAAAAAATCACTCAAATATAAAAAGGATATTATTTTGTATGAACAATATTCGGAAACATACTCCTTATTATTCAAGGCACGTTTCTATAGATTCCCCTCACAAAATATATTTGCCTTGTATTTTTAATAAATTACATATATTTAAAATCACTCGAATATACATAAAAATACTATTTTGTACGAACAATCCTTAAAAACACACTCATTATCGGTCAAGATGTGATTTTATAGATTTTTCTCACAAAATAATTTCTTTAAAAATATTAACAACTAAGCCTAACAAAATGTATTTAATGCCATATGTAAATAATACAAGCAAAAATTCAATATAAAAAATCCAAAACATGAATTTTTATATAATATATATATATTACACTTTAACCCAAAATACCAAAATGTTATATATACATATAATATGTTACAAATTAAAGAATATATATATATATAGTACATGCTTAAACAATATGATACATTGCAATACATATACATAACGCAAGCAAAACTTTAACATTTAAAGAGCAATTATTACACAGTAAGTAAAATATAATGATCTAATTAAAATTATGATATGCAAATATACGCAACACATTACATACATATATATTAAGAAGTATAATATATAGTGATGTATACATATACACATGACACATTACATACATATATATTAAGAAGTATAATATATAGTGGTGTATACATATACACATGACATTGGTGCATGATATTAATATATGAATGTGATGGGCCAAAATGCAGGTTATAATAACTACGTGTGCATAGCTGCAAATATGGCAAAGAAAGAGGATTAAAATGTAAATAGAATAAAATAGGAGCACCAAATATAAAATAAACATAAAAATGAAATAAATAAGCTTCATGGACTAAAACTAATACTCGTAAAATAAAAGGAAAACAATAAAGATTCAAAAACCTCTAATGGGTCTAAATTGCATTTCTTTCAAAACTGGGTGGAACCCTTACAGAAATAAACCCTATAAAACACGGGTTGCCCAAATTTTCCAAAACGGCTGCGCTGTAAGGATGGTACATAATCCTTGTTTAGGCTTCTTCTAAACCTAAACTCCTTTGTGCCAACACGCCGTTCTCTCAAACATAACCATCTCCTTTTTCTTTTCTTTTTTCCCCTTTATAGAGAAGACCACAAGAAAATGTCCCCGGTTGTCGTATTCCAGAGCCGGTGATAGACGAACCCCCTCTTAAACAAACCTCCTTCTAGCTTTATCCCCAAATAAACCTTCGAATGCCTAAGTAAACCCAAAAAACAACTCTTTTGGTCACTAAAAATCCAAAAATACTCAATAATTCTGACCTTCAAAATGACTCCAAAAAAAGGATTTCAAAGAAGCTACATTCGATTGCAGAAGGATTATTCTCACTTCGGTGAAGGAATGAAGAGCTTTATCCTCAAAGGTAAGGGTTTTTTTTAATTTATTTTTTCTTTCTCTCGAAACTTTTCTTTGGGTATTTTCCTTGTTGCAAAAGGCTCCCTCTTCTCTCTCTTTTTTATTCGTATATATATCCCCTTTCAAAGATAAAAACGACTCCTTGAAAATTTCTTTATTTTTGTCTCTATATGTGTGAGAGAGGAGGGAAAAGGTACAACCTTTCTCGTTGATTTTTCTGGCATGGAAGATCTAAGTACCAAAAGCCCTACTTGATGAATAAAACTGCCTTATTTTGCTTTGTTGCACACTCATAAAAAATGGCAGAAAGGACTCTGCCCTTGCAGAGCCTTTCATTCTCTGCCATCAGGCCGTATGGGATCACTGGCAGTGAACACAGGTGATGGATGCTTGGAAGTTAGGCCACTGGTTGTTACTGACGAGGCTACTGACGTGGAAGCATCAACGGCGTTGAGATGATTCTAGCTTGTGAGATAAACAGTAAGGAAAATCAAAGGTCTCGCGTGAGTTGCACGCGTGGCTTCGGGGACGTTTGGAAAATTTGGGTCGTTAGATCTGCCTTCAGATCCAACTTTGTATATATCTTAAAGTTAAAACCCTAATTCTGATCTTGATGCAATTCAAGATGTTGATCTCTTTTTAGATTTGATGGCTGATATTGAGTGGCGCATGAGTCAAAAGAGCAGTTAGAGTTTCAATTAACTTGTGGGATCATTTACCTTTGGGCCTCTATAACTGTCGGAACATTTGTATTAAGGATGTAGAGTTTTGTAATTTGGACCTATAAATAAATATTGAATAAAAGTTAGTATTTTATTTAAACTTAGTTAATATTATATATTTAATATTTATCATTAACACAGACGAAGATTTTTCGTTGTCGTCCGAACGTCCGAAAAAGTGGGAGTAATAGGAATGGAAAGCGACACAAAAGGTATGATTTATGAATATTGATATGCATGCTCCATAAAAGCATTTTACTATTATTTCTTAATTAATCGTTTCTGATTCACCGGATTTTATCTCTTGTATATACATATGATATATATGCGAATAAAAATTTCGAATGAGAATGAGTATCTTTCTCTTAATTTATTTCTTTCACCAAATAGGTCACACAACAAATTTTTTGAGTTGGATCAAAATAAAATTTGAGTCACAATATTAAACATGAACCACAAGTATCTCGTTTATCCATTTCAATAATTTAGCAAAGATTAAATTCTTCGATGTTATGTATTAAGGAACAAAATAGCAGAATAGTAGAGGAAAATAGAAGGAAAGACAATAGACTCGGGAAAAGAAGGCAATGTTCAGTGTTTTCATGCCACTCTCTGTACAAAATATTGCTTTTTATCAAGGAAAATGATAATAACAGAATTCTAATAAAGGAAAAAAACTGTTAATGCGCATGGAGCCCTTCTCCCCTTAGTTCCATTACGAAATTCCTACACATTCTCTACAGCTTTGTCAGAATTGGTTGCTTGGATATTCTCTGCAGCATGACTAGAGCTGGTTCCATGGGCAATTGCTTCAATGGTCTCTAATGGTGGTTCCATTGTACATTACCTCCCCCTAACGAAGGAACCTTGTCCTCAAGGTTCGACATGACAATAGCCTCAGTGACCGATGTAGAATTCCTGATCAAAGGTAATGGTGTAATCTACTTAACAGGTCGTCCTTTGAAATGTTTTAGCTGAGATATGTGAAATATAGGCTGAATACGAGTGGATGCCGGCAATTCTAGTTTGTAAGCCACAGGACCAATACGTTGAATGACTTTATATGGACGTGGACTGAGTTTATGATGTTTGTGCAACATGAGAAATTTTTCGATAAGGTTGTAGGCGAACAATTGTA